ACAACAACAACAGGTAGACTGGATCATTCGACATTTTAATGAGCCTGTAGTGCCACTAACTAGATGTACTTTCAAAGCCAACATGAAACAAAACCCCGGCTGAGCGGTAGATTTGTGATGGATGCCAAGTTTCCAGGAAGGGGCTGAGCTGAACAGGCTTTAAAAGGTGGCGGTGCCTTTCAGTTGTACAGCTGGAGCTCACAGTGTGTGCGGAACAAATGACTGAGCCACTTAGACCCTGAAAGGGAAAGAACCACCTGCGAACGGCTCACAGTTCACAGCTCCAGCCCTTGGCGTTGGTTTCGTGATGCTGCGACAGACGACAGCCAACCCGAGTGGAGCTGAAGCTTGATGGCATCGAGGAGTCTGAGCGCACGAGAAAGGACCTGGAGACCCGGAAGAAACAAAAGGAAGATGATGACTTCTGTGGGAGGCAGTGATGGAGAAGGGGCCACTGGGCTCCACGCTGACTTCAAAAGCCGAGAACAAAAGATCAATGACCGAACTGGTTATTAACCTCAACCAAAGCCCAACAATTGCTCATCTCAGTTTGGCAGTTTTGAATTTTGGAAATAGGCATGAAGTTTGCATGCCAAGGCCCCAGAACAGAGTAAAATGATGGCAGCCATACAGACAGGATTTGGAGAATTGAGGAGTTGGTCTACAAAATGCTGCTTCTTGCGGTGAGGACTGCTTCCGAGTGAGTTTAATCATGCTTAACTTTCACTTGAAGCCTGAATTCAAACTCTCGTTTGTCTCTGGAGGGTTATTTTGACTCTATGAATTATAGTCTGTCCAATGTTTTAAATAATAAATGTATTTTTGAAAACTTAAAAAAAAATGAATCAAACCCTCATCTCATGAATGCGCGTGTATTAACATAGTTTTGGTTATCAGTATATAAAGTCATCTTTAGAGATTGATTCTACAAGTAATTTACATCACTGAAAACTGGCACTGACAAAATGAGGGCTTTGTTTCTCATCATGAAACAGGGCGAAGTAAAGAAGGAGAGCCGGGTGTCTGTATGAGGCAATCCAAAAGCACTGCCCATCCCGTACTCGTAAATACAGAGGCTGGTGTTGGCGTAAACTCAAGCAAAAAGACCACTTTCTAGATGTGCTAACTGGTTTTATCTGAGGGCTTGTGGTGGGAGAGTGGGAAGTGGGTTAGGAGCTTTACTTCTATACTTGGTTTCCATCACATTTGACTATTTGGATTTAAACTACATATTGCCTTTATAACTAAGCAATCATAATAAAAGTCAATTAATAAGTATTGTCCTGGATTATAAATGTTGAGTCAAACCTTCTTCAAAAACAATTGAGGGAATTATTTATTTTAAGAAGCCAATTTTTTTTTTTTTAATAAACTCAGTATCAGGCCCCAGGATGCTTCCCTCTCACAAATTCCATTTGCTTTGTCGTGCTACAGCTGACTGCTCAGCGATCCACTTTAGTTGGCCTTTCCCCGGGGCTCACTCACAGCAATTCCGAAACAAGCTCCAACTCGCTCTCCCAGGGCAGGTGTTGTTTTCTGGGCAGCTCCTGCCACAGGGCAGCAGAATCAGTCACAGGCTTCGGAGCTGGACGCCTCGGGGTCCTGGTTCTGGCATGCAGTACATGCACCACACACACATGCTCTTAAATCTTGCTGTTTTATAGGGAGGTTTGGACACCACAACAAAAGAACTCAGTCTGCTTCTAAATACTTATATCTTCTTTTTTTGAGGGCAACTCATAAAGGTTTAGGGAGGATGTCATTCCTTGCAGCAAAATGGAACTGTGTTGTGTTTTCTTTCAACATGCCATGACATTGTAGGACTCACTCGCGCATTTCAGACGTTTCACCTGTTACAAGGTAGCTTACATCCGCTACAAGGTATGTTTCGGACAACCTAGATCAATTATTCAGCCTACCCATGTAATATGGAAACTGACTCCCCATGTGCAAAGTGTTCAAAGCTGGGAAAGGAACGGTGCTCCATGACAGGTGAGCATCGGAATTCCGGATGCTCCTGGGTTGGTTGGACATGGTGACGAGATGGCCTCAACACGAGCTCCACAACAGACATTCTCAACAAAGGACCTACCTGCGCAGAGCCTCTGTAGAGTTTCTGGCTGTGGCTTGCTGCCTGGGGCGTCTGTCTGATGTGTCTCCTTTGATGTTCTAGGAGTTCGTGATGATTGTCGTCTTTGGTTTGGAGTTCATCATTCGAATCTGGTCTGCGGGTTGCTGTTGTCGGTACAGAGGATGGCAAGGAAGATTGAGGTTTGCCCGAAAGCCTTTCTGTGTTATAGGTGAGTTTGAAAGCCTGACCATCAAAATCCCAGGCAAGCCTACATTTAATTATTTCAACATTTGATTGGCATTGAGAACCAGCCAACATTGAGCACTAACCAGGGGCTGAGCATGCTTGTGTTTTGAAAATGTTGACTCGTGTAATCCTCCGCCCAACACCGTGAGGCAGGTATGTTCATCATCCCCGTTCTACAGATGCAAAGAGCAGTGAAGTGAGTTGCCAAAAGTTTTACAGGTAGTTAGTGGCAAAACTGGGATTTGAACTTCGATGGTTGGGCTCTAAAACTCCAATTTTTATCAACTACATTAAAGTGAAATATATGGTTCTTCAGCATTACCCTTAAGTAGAAAATATCAAATCTGATCATACCCTTGAGTGACCAGCATGGGTAGCAATGCATTAGTTTTGGGATTATACATCAAGTAGCATGCTCCAGAATGATGGTGGTGTAGTCACCACGCTGATAAAGTGTCCTGGCCGCTGAAATGAGTCTTTCACACCTGCAACCCCCAAATAAAGAGCACCCCACTATACCTCGGTGGGTCCCTAGAGAGACTCTGTTCACCTGGGTCCTGGCATGAAATGACCCCTTTTAATCAAAATGCCATATAAAATTCTGTGGTTTAGATCTGTCATCTCCCAGTAATGTATTTGAAAGTATACCATAAAATTGAACACTCCTATATATCTGCTATTGTTGTTATTATTAGTCAGCTATGTTTTATTTTCTTGGTCTTTTTCCCTTCTTGGTTCTTAGACATCCATTCTAATCAGAACACAGAGTGTTCTTAGTGAAAGGCTTATTTATTTCAACAATTTCCAAACTGCATAAGTGGTTTTTATCATTTACAAGGTAGGTTATGTAGATTATGCACTTCAACTACAACAGGTTTTCTGCTTTGTTTTAAGTCAAGAGATAATGAGTATTTTTTTTTTTTAGTAATTCTTTTATTTCTTCCTTCACCCATGTTTCCTTTGACAGAGGAAGAGTGGGTTAAGGAAGACATCAGAAAGTACCTCCCCATCATTCCTCTAGTTCCTGAGGGCTTCCTCTCCCCCACTACTATAACCCAGTTCTACATTACAAATCTGGCTAGACCAAAGAGCACACATTGGTACAGATAAGAGCTCTGGACCCATGGAATTCAGGACAGATAACCCCCTCAGGAGCAGTAGTGGAAGTAGCAATAACATGAGGGTAGGGGGATGGCCAGGGAGGAGGAAGGGGGAGAAAGGGGGAACCCATCACAAGGTTGGATATATAGCATCCCCCCCCACACACGACTGGGACAAATAACAGAAATGGTGGGTGAAGGGTGTAAGATCTGAAATAATAATAGCCACATATAATTGATCAGGGATTCACGAGGGTGGGAAGGGAGGGGAGAAAAAGAGGAGCTTATACCAAGGGCTCAAGTAGGAAGAAAATAGATTGGAAATGATGATGGCAACACATGTACAAATATGTTGGATGCAATTGATATATGGAATGTTGTAAGAGCCCGCAATAATAATGACTAAATAAATAAATATACCCCCGAAAAGGGAAAGAAAAGAAAGAGTCTTCGCAGACTTGGACTCGATTGAGAAGAGCTCTCGATGCCATCCTTGGGCACAGACAGAGCACTATGCTGAGGACTGGTGGTGCCCCGTATCCTCTGCCACTAAGGTAGTTCCATGGTGCGAATACTTCAAAGGAGTCGCCATTTACTCAACAACAAAAGTCAGGAAATCTGATTGAGACACTGGAGTTACCAACAGTGAATGAAGAGAAAACTCTAAGTTCAATCAATCTTAAAATACCAACAACAAAAAAATACCACATTTGGCGATCTATTTGTACAGCCACCTCTCTTTTCCAAGAAGGAGCTTTACTGCTTTTTAGCAGCTGTGATGCTCAGGCGTCAGATAAACCCACTGCCATTGAGTGTCCCCAACGGTTCATCTCTCAGGACGCAGGCAGTCACATCCTTCGCCCAGGCAGCAGCTGGTGGCTTGGAACTGCGAACCTTACAATTACTAGTCCAACATCTAATCCAGAGAGAGTGCCACCAGCCTTGTGGGCTCATCAAGCCCCCAGGCAAATGAATGAACGATGAGGTTTTGTACCCTGGAGGTTTTCTTCTCTTCCCGCATCCCCTGCTCATGCACCATTAGGAAGGGCTGTAGCCTGATGTGTGGCTGCTGCATAACAAATACTTTCGGTGCCTTAGAGACCCACACAAAACTGTTCACACAGCAGATGGTTGTTTGGCCAAGATTCATTCAACTCCTGAAAGAGTGAAGGGCGGTGCGTGGATGGCTACAGGAATATTCCATTCCAGATTTTAAAACCAATTAAAAATTGGTTTTGCTCCAGTTCCAGAGGCAATGCCAATGTAGTCCTGGCCTCGGTGCTGAAAAGAAAGTCCTTCTCCAGCTGTCTGCTGCCTTTCGATAGGCGTTTCCAGCTTGGGTGCTTCGGTCGATCTCAATGCTCTAATCTTCCTCTTACTGTCTCAGCTCCTTAGAGCACTTGGTAATAACATGTGCTTCTAACAGTGAAGTGGTGTGGTCTGTAATCTCACTTGCCGTTAGACCCATCAGTAATGGCCTTACAAATTCAGTATGACATGGTTAATAACTATAGATTAGGTGACTCCTCAGGCCTTTGGTTCATTTGGGTATTTTACCTCTAATAAATTAATTGCTCTGAAAGAAAATTGTATGAATAAATAATGAATTCCCATTAGAACAAGGATAAGATTTCTTCTTACATTTCTGATAGCCTTGCTGCTGCTTCTATCCCCTCCTCCTCCACCTTTAACTGAATGTCTATGTAACGGTTTGATCCGTGGTCCACCTGAACTGATGTAGTAGTGAAACATTCAAATGTGGCTCTTCAGTAGGAATTCAATAAAATGTAACCTACGCTGAGGAACCAAATGTCAGCTGCCTCAGGCAGCAGGTGTCACTGGATGACTGCTGAAACCGTTTTGAGGCCTGTTTAATAGGTCTATGAAAATGGTTCATGCCACAGGTAAAATCACAAAGTGAAACGTAAGGGAACCCGTTAGTTTCCTCTTTCAACCTAAGTGACTATGACAAAATGAAAAGAAAAAAGAAAAAGAATAGAATCTCTCTCTCTCTCGTCTGTTCCTTGCTCAACTGTTCTGAGAGAGTTTGGAGAGGTTACGTTTTAAGATTCGATCTTTCGGGACATGTCAAATACACACCCCAATGTTTTTGGAAGTACTGCACGTTCAAAAGAATCCAGAGAGGCTGGCGCAGCTCGGCTCCTTGAGCACGCCAGCGTTATTCTTCCCGATCAGCAGCAGATCGGTGCTGCTGAGCCTGTATAATCTCAAGCCCTCGTGGCCAACGGATAGGATTTGGACACGTGTCTGATAAAGGGCCCAGGGAGTCTTTCCCCTCTTGAACTGCCCACCCTCTGTATGGCTGCCCTCTAGCCAGGGCCACGTTTTTCCAAAACTTGCTGATTTAAGGGATCATAAAGTTCATTGTGTGTGCGTGTATGTGGGAAGCATTTTAAACAATTGTTATGTGAGGGAAGATTCAATCTATTTAATTTTTTTATTAGCTGCTTTCCTGCATAACTGTATTGATTCACCTCTGCTTGGGTTTGAGAGTGTACTTTCAAACGGCTAAGGTCTTATTTTTAATTACAAAATCTCATCCTCCCCCGGTGTGTTCACTCCCTTTTCTCTCTAATAACGTTTCTACAGCTGTGGGCAACAATCACGGCATTACCAGTTTGGAGAGTCCAGCGTCTCTCCACACTGCCTGCCCGTCATGTCCCTGCGCTGGGCACCTCCCCTCACCACCACACCTTCACGATTTCTCCTCATCCCAACACAAATCACTTGCCACCCAGTGGCCTTGTTGCTGAGAATATGTGAAGGAATCACAAAGACTGGTGGTTTCAGAATCACTCCTTTTTTGTAGTGTTCGTTCATTAATGAAAATTTCAAATAGTACCCGAAGCTGGTGCTGGGATTTCAATAATAAGCCTGGTGTGAGCAGAAGTCCTCAAATTACTTCCAATAGTGGCCTTTTTGGATTCCTCGGTGACTCCTACCAGCAGATGTTAGCAGGCATATATATGGGGGGGGGATATATATATATATATATATGGGTTGGGTTTTTTTTTTCAGTCTGGCAGTACATCTCAGGGAAGCAGAAAGTACTGGCCTGATATTAATCTTGTATCTGTATTTGTTGCTAAATATAAGTGTATTGCTTATTGCTATTTTAACAGTTTTGCTAAAGTGTAACATTTCCACTGGAGGACTGGAGAAGCAAACCCCAGCACAAATGTTTCTCCCACGAAGCAGCCTATAAAGCCTTTGACATGAGATGAGATAGCAGTTCCTCAGGGAAATGCCAGCAAGTGTATTTTTTTTTTTTAATTAAGAAAGGGTAGCCAGCTTCTTACTTACTAAAACAAACTTGAAACCTTTATTAAAAGCAACGGCATGGCTGAAGCAACTCTAATATATCTGTGCGTTGATCTTATAAAAAGGCAACTTAATCTGCTAATGTGTTCTAAAGTTAGATCAGAGACTAGCAGAGCCGCTGCTGGCTTCTGACGTCCTCAGCCATCACTCCTCTGCTTCCGTGCCTTCTTTATCGTTGGTTCCATGAAATGTGTACCCGGAAGGCCTCATTTTCTATTCCTTGGCGTCTTTGCTCCTCATAAAGAGAAATTACTCTTTCGGGTTATTTCCTGTCAGCCACGTACTATTCTGCTTCTTCTCTTTACTTCTAAGTCTCTATACACCTACAGTACACGTACACTCCTACACTGGGTCATCCCAAGATAAAGGAGCCCCACTGGATTGATTGCTCACCGAACAGGGAAGCTACGCAAATCCCTTTAGTAAAGAAGTGCTGATATTTATCGAGACCCACTGCACACTACATGCTGCTCTAACCAGCTTATAGATGTCGTATCTCTTTTACATAAGTACCGTAATATCCTATTTTAAGAAATGGGCC